TGATTGATGAAATACTCGTCCAATTATTATAGCAGGCTAGCAGCGACATATCTTATAAGCTGCTGTACACACACACACACACACACACTCACACACACACACACACACACACACACACGCACACACGTACGCACGCACGCACACACATACCTCTGGGTTGTAATGCCGAATCTGTCTTGCTCCGTCTGTCTTGATCGGGGTGCCGTGCGCATGCTTGAGCAGGTCCGACATCACCAGCAGAAAACTCATCATCATCATCATCGTCGTTCTTTTTCCTCCCATAGCTAGCTTCCTCTACTGTAACACACGTAAACTGCCTGTTAGTTTTCCAATCGGAGATGGCTGGATCGACCAATGAGCGTATCAATCGATAAATCGATGGATGGGTCAATCGATAATTACGTGGGCACAATTTATCATCGTAATATCCTGAATTTATAATTTCGCTAATAAGATACGTAAGGTACGTATGTAACAATACAACCGCGATAAAATTAATATATCAACAAAATACTATTTGCTAGGCTGATAAAACCTGGAAATAAGAGTTAAATATGCCATACGGGACACATATCGCCATCTATTGGCTAAATTTCAATAGAGTTACATCAGCCGGAAAAAAACCTCGCACCACATCAATATTAATGGACATTAAAAGTAAGAGACATCGAGATTTAACTTTCATTTCAAGTTATTGCAAAGTGCATCTACTCTCTGTTTCAAACGCATAATTTCTTTTCTAATTTATTTTTCATTTGGCAGATACTTGTTATGCAGTAACAAGACTAGACTACTATGCTAGAGGGAATTTTGCTACAACTATAGAGACTCGATGCACGCCCATAGCCTGTGGGGGCAGTGGAGGCCTGCTTGCCTCTACATTTCTAAAACACATACAATATAAGCAAGTAGCATATCATAATAAATAAAACTGAGAAAACTAGAATACAGAAATATGGAACGAATGTAAACAACCACGAAAAAGAAGTGGGAATTATCATGAAGCCATCGGTGACACCCTCGTCACCTCTACACGCACGCACGCACCCTGCCACTCTACGCCAGCTGTGTTCTCTATTGTCAATAAGTACGTGGCTGAGTTCCCCTGGCTCTAACTTTCCCAGCCTTTATGGGTAACGTGCTTGTGAAGCCTACGACCCTGCAATTGCTCGTTTTTAGTAGCTGACGATTGCGCGACAATATCAGCAACATCATCGGCAACATCATCGGCAACATCATCGGCAACATCATCAGCAACGTCATCAGCAACATCATCGGCAACATCATCAGCAACAT